CCCTCAGATGTAACCAAATCAACGGCTGCCTTCCTCTGGTTTGACTGACCCATTGGATTCTGAGAATCAATGGCCGATCTCGCTTGCTTTGGCGGGAACAGTGTAGAAGGTGGTAAATCCCTCTTTTAAAACTCACGTACTATAGTAGATAGAGAAAAGTCCGTAATTTATTACAGCCACTAATCTTGCAACCACCACACAAAGTTCAACTTTTCGATACACACATAGTACGTATAATTGATCCTTGTGCCAATAGGCAGGAAATTTATTTACTAACACGACTGAGGTGCCAGTCGGATCTCCTCCTTCTCTGGCACCTTCACCGATGTCCGATACTACTCCTCTCCTATGACGACATGATAAACATAGACAAAAATGACAAGAGAAAAAAAAACTTGGAAAAAAGAGATGCATTATCTTACGTACCTTGGATAACATGCCGATATCCTCGATTATCTCTGCGACCGCCGGCACCAGCCCAAACGCTGGTGGCCGTGGCGGCAAGGGTGGAGCTAGGGAATTTTGTTAATGGGTTCGCTAAGGGTTTGAGTATGAATTAACTATTGTATACAGTGGTGGAGTTTGCTAGAAATTTCTAATATAAGCTGGCCAAAGAAATATCTAACCCAAGGCTGGGGGCCAATGCCCCCCTCCCTCTTCATATTATCCGATGGGGGTTATCCTAGAATTTTTATTGGGCGGAGTAAATCCATTGGGTTCACCGTTTCTACACTATCGTTGGGTGGCAGCGGCTGGTGCATGGAGCTTGAAGACGAGGACGATGTGCAACTGAACATAAGGACGATGCGCGATGCAATTTGTGGACGGCGCCGATGATTGACGAGTTGCCACCTGACATTTACCCCTAAAATTTGGGTATGCTAAAAAATACACCTCTCCTATCTGTGGCCCTTACATAAATCCCCTTCCAGTCCGTTTCCATCGGGTCAATGGTCTTTGACCGGAAATTGGGCGTCTGTTGGACATTGTTGCCCCTAGTTCTTACATGTGGGCCCGCATCAAAACAATATCCACTTGCTCACTATATTTCTTCTACCTCGGAATGGTGCACATACGAGAGTGAGGCGATTCATCGGCGGCAAACTTCATCGTTCTGGAGCTCGGGAGTGAGACCGCACATTAGGTGCATGGATGCACCTCACGCATGTCGTTCATGAGCTCTTCGGTCGCCGGCGAGGTAAGTTTTTTCATCTCTGATTTGTGGATTTCGCATTAGGGTTTGAACTCAAATTGGGAAAATTTCGGTCATAGATCGATGGTGTCGGGATTGTGCAGTTCTCTGAGTTCTCCATGTTAGATCTGAGCTTTTGCGGCCTTGAGAAGCTTTCCAAACACCCGTGTCTGGGGGCACGGGCTCGTTCCCACTCACTGTGTTGCCTGGGGAGGAGCAAGCACGGGGAGACGTTTCCTAGGTTGCCCACATGATGTAATTTGCATAGATTTTATCTGTTTGCTCCACATTGTTGCCAGTATTGCATTTTGACGATATTTTTTATGTTGCAGCTTCCTGATGAATGTGAATGGGCTTTTTGGGTTGACCCTCCTCCTCCAGATCGTGTTGGGCATGCTTTTGAGGAACTACATGCTGGGCTAGAAGCAAGTTGGCTCAAAGCTCATCGTTTGGAGAGGAGGGTGGCACATCTAAGAGAGAGAAAAGAAGCTCAAGTTAGAGTTGAAGAAGAGGCATGATTAGATGGAAACATGGGCATTTCTGATGATTGTTGGCATATGCATTCTATCCTATTTGTTTGGTTCAAAGAACGCATATTAGTTGGCTTCGATGTTGTAGGCAGTGAGTAGAACTTACTTGA